TTCTTCTTCTTCTTCTTCTTCTTCTTCTTCTTTCTGCCCCTTTGTCTGCTCTAAGAAACTTCGCTGATGAGATTAAGGAAGTGGAAAGGTTAACACAAAAGGGCCCCTGAGAGTTAAGTTTTGCTCCCTCAAGTAGAAAAGTCAAAGGTCCACTGACTCGGTAGTCTCCCTCGAAAGCCCTGAACTGCTGGAAGCTGGTCTTCACAGCAGTAATAAGGTACTGTAGACATCTAGTGGGTAGAGACCACTAACTATCTTATAAAATACAGCATAAGGAGCAGTCTTATGCTTAAGAACAAATTAGTTGGAAAGACCTGAAGGAGGAAGCATGTAACCAATAATTGGAATTATCTGGATTGTAGCTATCTGAAAAATGTTGGACCCTAAGGGGCCAGGGAGTCAGAAGTCCAGGGATATTTTATGGATATAAGTCTCCTTTCATCCCCACAACTATCTATCCCATAAAGAATGTCTTTGGTGCTCCTCTACGGATGAGGAAACAAGACACCACAGGTGAAGTTGTATACTCAGGGTTATCTGGGTAGTAAGTGAATGATGCAGAATTTATTGGTAGGCAGGTTGACCACGCATCTCATGTTCTCTATCAGTGAGAGGGGTTCATTTGGATAGACCATAACTGAAGGTTCTCAGTGTCTTAAGAGAAAGCTACAATGGTCAGCACAGCTTGAGCTGAGTAGGATGGGAGGAGATAAGTAGAGATGAATCAGTGTGAAATAGATGGGCTGGATTTGGAAGGCCCTTCCCATGCCTTTCAGAGGAGTTTGGATTTTTAAACTGTAGGAAGTGAAGACGCGATAAAAATTTCATTCTAGAAAGATGACTCTTTTACCAAAGAGGTGGATGGATTGGAGAATGGAGAAGTTGGAAGACCAGTAGGGAGACTATTGCAACACCATGTGTAATGTAAAGGAGGGCAAAGGGTAGGAGTGTTAGAGTTGGGTGGATTTGCCCTTTTACCCACTGAATGTAAGGCTCCTCCTCATTGTAAAGGGAGGAGTCTGTCCTCACTTGGATTCCAGAGAATACTGCATGTGGTAAGTGCCTGGTAGAGAACCTCAATGTCACTGGCATTCAGGAACTGCTCTTTTTTTCCCTGGCCAATGGTCCGTCTTGCTTCTCCAAGGAGACTTGCACAAAGAATGTAATAAAATGAACAAAGGTAACCATGTTCATGCATTTCTTTGGCTGTGGAGAAAGAGACCACCAATGTGCTTTTGAACTTACAGTTTCCATGGACTTGATATGACAGTCATTTTGTCCTGAGAATTGCTTTATCCCTGACACTCTCTGTTGCCACAATTGCTTATCTCCCTGTTCCCAGTGCAATTGTACCAGACACTTCTGCACTGACTAATCTTGGTGAAAGCTATAAAACACCATCTTCTGCAATCCACAAATCATAAAATCATGCGGAGACTGCAGTGATTGACATGAGGGAAGGAAGGATGCTTTGGTTGTATGGATAATGGTTTGCTGTAGTTGTGTATCAGGATTTGAGTTCTTAGGTGTTTTATGGCTTTGAATGTCTTCGGTGGAACTCAGGTGGCTACTTGGCAGCTGTTTCTTCTGATAGATACACACTCTGACGGTATTTCATAGGGGAAAGTTTCTGGTTGCATAAGAAGCCCACCAGAGAGATCATTCTCCACCTCCCATTCTAAGTGCCTGGATATAACATGGATTTATTTTGGCCTCATTAGAAAGCATTTCTTGGGGTGGTG